ACAGAGAGACAGAGAAAAAGACAAAGAGACACAGAGAGACAGACAAAGACAGAGAGGGACAGAGGAGACAGAGAGAGACAGAGACAGAGACAGATCAGAGTTGATGCTAGCAAGAAGGAAGGACTCAGCCATACCTGGCTTATCTCTTCCCAGTTCCTGGGCTCAGAGATCATCTTGCCTCAGCCTCCCAAGTAGCTGGAACTACAAGTCCAGGGAGAAGCCTGGAACCCCACTCTGCTTAACTCTGACTTTTGTCGGGTGGGTGGGTAGGTGGGTTGACTAGTCTGCTGTGGAATGGAAAGCCCTGACATTTCCTCAGTGCCAGAGTCTGGCTGGATTCTGTGACCTCAGGCAAGTTATAGCAATCCAGGGTCCGTGCTTAAGACCCAGGGGATAGGGTGGGGGGCTGGGCCAGGCTGGGCTGGGCTGGGCTTGGTACAGTCAGGTGGGAGGATCTGAATCCAGGAGAGCAGCCTTCTCACTTGCTGTGCCCCGCAGGTACTCAGAGGAGGAGATTCAGCAGAAGGTTGGGACCTTCCGGCAGATGCTGATGGAGAAGGAGGGAGTACTCACCAGGGAGGACCGGCCGGGGGCCCACATGTGAGTGTCCACCTGCAGTGGGCAGGCTGGGGCCTGCTCAGGTGCACCATCAGGTGGCTGGGGCTAGGGCTGGAGCTGGAACTAGAACTAGCCTGGTATGCGGGTGGGGACACAAAGGAGGGGCATCTTGGCATTGTCAAGGGCTTCCTGATGCCACCCCAGATTCCTTCTATGGCTCAGAGACAGGAGGGGCTGCAGAAGCCCCCAGATCTCAGCTTAGGACTTCAGAAATGCTCTAAGCTCTCACCGTTGTCACTCACTGGCAGTGTGACCCCAGACAAGCCACTCGGCCATACCTATTCCCACCTGTCCAATGGGCTCCTGAGGCATGGAAGGTAGAAACACACAGACCAATGTCATTGCTGTTGCAGTCAAGGACTTGGCAGGTAAAGTGGATGTGGGCCCCGTGGAGAGCACATCTCTGCCACCTGTCACAGGACCAGAGCAGCAATGAGCTCTGAGTCTCCAGGGCGGATTTTGTCAAACAGAAAAGGCATGGAGAGGTCGATTTTGCTTCAGATCAGAGTAGGGCTGTGAAGCACTCAGAACCCAGCAGCAATGGAGCAGGCTGCATTGGGGGGTGCAGTTTGTTTCTGCAGGGGCTAGTGCTGGAGGGCTGGCCCAGCCCATGCTGTGGCTGTGTGCCCCTGAGCGCTGCTGGATCCCCCCATGGGGCCTTCCCCTTGCTCAGCCTCAGCTTCTCTCAGCAGCCACATCCCCTCCCAGCAGCCACATCCCATGCCTTTCGGGCTGAAAGTAAAACTGATTCTCAGTGAGAGGTCAGGGCAAAAGCTACTACCTTTCTTTCAGCAGTGGGACTACTTTGGGAAGCAGGCATCTTGCTGAGGCCCCCAACCCCTGCCCACCTTTATTTACTCCACAAAACCAAGCCAATAAAAAACCATGCCTAGTGGCACAGGCTTGTAATCCCAGCACTCAGGAGGCTGAGGCAGGGGGCTTTCTGTGAGTTCCAGGTCAGTCTGGGCTGTATAGTGAGTTCAAAACCAGCCTGAACTACACAGAGAAATCCTGCCTCAGAAAACTAAATAACCTTCCAAGTGAGTGTCCTATTGTGGTCACCTTAAGAGCCAGAAGCATGTAGGAAGAGACAAACCTCTATGAAGAAAGGAAAGCCCCCTCTGTAACCCCTTTGTAATCCTGAGGTATCAGCTATGAGTATTATCCAAGCACCCCTAATAAACCTCACCTCTCTGGCCAGAGGTGGAGCAAATCAGAAACAGCCTCAAGCTTGGTGGAGGCCTCGTAGGTGACCTCAGTTATCCAGTCACAGCCTGACAGGTCTCTCTCCTTCTCTGGCAATGAGGCGAGGGTCTAGGGCTGCTCACTATCTCTTTCTCTTCAGCCATCCAGCACCCCTCAACAACTCCTGCACCAGTCCTCCTCTTTGTGGACCTGGTTAGCTTCCCACAAAGGCAGGGCCTGCACTTCGCTTCTCTTCTCCATCCTGCTAACCACCAGACTCCTCCCCAGCTGGCTCCCCAAACCACCCCCAGACCAATGAGGTTGTGGCTTTCTGATCTACTCATTCAAACTGGGGCTTCTCTTGAAAACCTCTCACTCTTCACTCTCTCAGCCACTGTGAATGGATTCTACCTTTTCCATCTTCTTGGGGGATGCAATGACAGAAACACTCCCTCCAGCACAAGTCCAGTCTTCTTCTGTTTCCTCTCCTAAAGAAAGCATTTCTCTGTCTCTCTCAGCTCTGTCTCCTCCTCCAGCTACCAAGCCACATTTTTCTTCCATTCCTACAAAGGGTGTGGGCACTCATTGCCTCTGCTTCTGTGAGCCACGGAGATCTGGCTTCTCCTCCACAGCGCTGAGAGCTCCCAGCCTCCTGAACCCTCTGTACCACGCCTGTAGCTTCTCTGTGGGCCCTGGCCTCTCTCTCTCTGGCATGTGAATCCCTTGTCTTTCTACTCTGGAATCCCACCTTCCCTCCTGGCTTCCAATATGCAGTCCTTTCTTCAGCTTCCCCCCAAATCCCGTGTGTCCACAGGTCTCTGCCCCAGGCTTGCCTTTCCTCTTCTCCCCAGGGATCACATCCATTCCCAGCTGGAGTGCTCCTTTGTTAGCACAGGACTCCCAGGCTTTTCCATTGGTCTTGATCTCCTCTTTGCGTGAATGAGTGAACAAATGAGAGAAAGACGTATCTAGGAACCAGAACCCCTTGGGAAACATGCCATGGACAGAGGAGAGGAGGAAGTGGTTCCTGCTCTCCAGACAGAAACACAAGCCTGTAACCTGCAACCAGGACTTGCTGACAACCCCTCATGAGAAGAAGCAGTGCAGCCCTTGAGTGGTGCTCTCTTCAGGTCCCCTGCATGTTCAAGGAGGAGCTGATGGGCACAGAAAGTGGTCAGTCACGCAGGGCTCCTTGGAAGAGGCTGTGGCTGGAAGACTCAATAATCAGAGAAATCTGACAGTTGGGGAAATTTGACAAAATGTTATGGAAGCTGAGCAGGGCCCTGGACCCCACTAGAATGTCAGTTGCACGAGAATTGCTATCAATTTTGTTTACGTGTACCCTTGGATCTTAGATTAGTGTGGCTTGCCCAGTTTTCTCAAAAGCCTCTGTTTCCTTATTTATGCAGTAAGAGAGTTTTACCAGGAGACTCCTTGTAGTTTAGACAGCTTAATATGGCATAAAAATAGTATTCCAAGCAGCTAGGGATGGTGACTTATGCCTGTAACCCCAGAAATCTGGGAGGCTGAAGTAGGAGGATTGCAAGTTCAAACTCAGCCTGGACAATCTAGAAGCAAGACCCATCTCAGAAATTAAAAATAAATAAATAAATAAAATAAAAAAGAGCTAAGGATCTAGCTCAGTGTAAAGTCCTTGGCTCAAACCCCAGTACCCTGTCCCCAAGAAAGAAAGAAAAAAAGAAAGAAAGAAAGAAAGAAGGAAGGAA